GTGTGCCTTGGCAGTCCAACATTAAGTCACTGATCTCTAAAACAGGATGAGAAAAAGGAAATTGACTTGAATTGTGGAGTAACTGGTAAATTAAGGGGGAAATGAACTGTTGGTCTGATGAAAATAAACTTCTGGGGGAAAGGGCCAATATTTCAGATGTTGCTGTGTTGCCAGGATAACAAATATCCACAGGTATTATTGCGTACAGTACAAATAACTACAGATGCGAGAATATAGTTGAGAGATGCGTCTACCTACGGATTGTTTCACACAAACTGATAATACACACGGTTAACAGTTTATTTTTCAGTTAAGTAGCTTTATCAGCCTCAGACTTTAGCAAGGGTTTCCGAGATAGCATTCAGGCTCTCCACATGAATTGTTTTTCTGCACACAACTAAAACCCACTCAAAACACGATAGGTCAATCATACTCGGAGTACAAACAGAAAGCAGATACCAACATCTTGTCCATTGCCTAGAAATATTTGCATTTATGTGCAGAACATATCTGTTAAGAGATTTACTCCTAAATGGATACAAAATAGTTATGTAGTATCTGCTTGGATTACAGGTTCTACACATGTGCAGTATATCGCTACGCCGGACACATCACACACTGAGGATGACATTTAAACCACATGGACCCATAGTGGCAGAAGCTAAAAGTACTACTTCCGTTAACTAGTAACTGCTACTGCTTTGGGGTTTAGTAGCACTTATAGATATCCCAAAGGAGGAAAGAATGATCACATTACCACACACATAATGCTATATATAACTAAGTGATATACTCTTACAAGATTCATGCAGATAAATGTTGCAGACACTCTAGTGATGATGCTTGTACTGTAGCAATGAAGGCAGTGGTCTTGATGTAAATGGCGCAGCAGCTGCTCTGCACATAAACATTCATTAGCATGCACTGGGAATAAAGTGTTACAAAATGAAGTGATGGAGATAATAATAGGTTTGTGCCAGATGGTGACTTTATAGACAAGCTGCAGCGCTGTCATACTGTTAATGCCAGCTGCTGCAGCTGCTTTAGGACAGTAGTGTTTACACACACCACTGATCTGAGTGACAGGTTGTGAAGGTGCTACAAGTCTAGCTTTGATTGTAGACAACAGGTTGGATCCGTTGTGTTTTCTTAGGTTACATTGAAAAGGCCTGGAAGCATTCCCTAACTGTATGAAGTTGTCACCTGGCCTTTTACAAATAGTTTGACATTTTAAGACATACATATTTGCTTTATAGCTGAAACTAAGATGAGAAAATAGTGTAATGATGTGTGTACAATGTCTGTAACGGTAATTATAATGCTCCAGCCACATGCTGGTTAGCTTAGCTTAGCGGACCAGATTGTAAACAGTGGGGAAATAGCTAACTTGGCTCTGTCCAAAGTCCACCTGCCAGCAGCTTTAAAGCTAACTTATTAAGATGGTACATTTTGTTTGTAAAACCCTTTTCTTTCTTGGAGTCCCTGAAATCTCACAGTGACGACAAAACTACAGGAAGTTGCTTCACCTAGCCAAGAATTTGTCAGGCACATAAAACCGCAATGTATCACTTTTGCACTTCATACAAATGAAACAAACAAGATACAATTATATTAAGTGAGATTAAGAGATACTGCCAAGGGTAATTTTTCTTGTGGACAAAGCCATTTCCCCCTGCTTTCTGACTTTTAGCTAAGCTAAGCTAATTGAATATTGATGCTGGCTGGTAGCTGTATATATTAACCATACATACGCGAGTGGTTTTAATCCTTTCCTCCAACTTTTTGTGTCAAGGCATTAAAGTTGCAATGTGTATGTTTTTGACCCCAACATGTATTCAGAGACTTAATGGCTCTGCTTTTTGACTCCTAAACTAGTTAGCTAGTTTTATAAGAAGGTGGAAGTAATTTTCTCTTTCCTGCCACTTTGGTTTCTATCCAAAAAACAAATGAACACGTACCATCCAGCCCCTCATTAGATGAACACTCACAAAGACAGCTTAACTATAGGACAATTGCAAAGGTGAAAATGATAAAATAGCAATGTTAATTTTATCGGCTCTCAGAATATCGGCAGTTTGCTAATTTTATATATTCTTGCACTGCTGTTAGTAGCTTGCTTATTTTGTAGCCCATTACACATTGACTATACATAAAGTATAAACATTGAGAAATTAACCTTTTTATTGTTTGCATTATATTTTTTATTACATTCATGTTATTGAACAACAGCAGCTGTTGCTACCAATACTTGGTCTATGAAGTTATTTTTGTTTGTGTTGTGATTCCAGAAAAAACAGACTTCCACAGTTGTTTCCATCATACTGGTGTCATACAGTATATTGTAGAATAAAGTCCAGTTGGTCAGTGACATAAACAGCAAATACTGAAGACAGAAATACCTGCGTGTTTGAAAAAGACTTTGGCTCTCTACAGTTTCGTATTGCATACTTAGCTTTCTGACTCAGACTTATTTTTATGTGTAGACGTACCTCTCCCTGTTTCTGTGATACTTATTTCCCCTCATGCAGGATCAATAAATTGTTATCTTTTCTAGTCTGATCTCATATACTTCTACACAGCTGGCTACGCAACACACTCTCTAATGGAGTGAGAAAAAAACAGGATGACCTCAGGGCTTTTTTTCTCGCCATTTTGTTCAACAGCTTTTATTAAAACAAGTACGAATAACTATTATATACATTTAAAAACAAACAGCACGTTCCGCCTGCTGTCAGAGATGAATTGCTCTGTTTACAGCTTCGGGTATTTTATCTGTTTCACACTGCTATGAATTCATCACTGATCTTGGCTCGAGTATCATTCACACTCTCCTCTATGCCCCTACAACCCAGTCTCCATGACAACGAGCATCTCAAGCATAAGGCCAGGAAGAGGTATGATATGTGAGCCGCCTGTTAATTCACACGCTCCCTTCTGAACACTCCCCCTCTCTCTTTCACTCACATCCGCATCAAACACACGCAGTCAGAGTCAGGGGCAGGGATTCTGCTCTCTAGTTATTTTTCAAGGACATGTAACTATCTTGTTGAAACTCTAATCTCTCCTCACACCGCGGCTTTATAGCAAACTGCTCTCACTGCGTATCCCTCACAATTCTTCTGCTACTTCCTTGAGAAAATACTCCTTATTTCTTCTAACATAGTTATTCTTATTTAATTTTTTCCAAACTCTGGAATATAAAAAAAATGCATTAATTCAAATAGTGTACTTTACATATTCAGCACATTTAATTGGTTACATGCAATTACCATTTGCAAATGCATAAGCAGGTCTATTTTTTGGCTGTTTTCGTTCTTCATTAATTTCTACTCTCTCCACAAAAATATGGCAAACACAAGTTATTGTTTATGCTAAATGTGCAACATGAAGAACATGTAAATGAACACATAGTATGAATTACAGTTGGTCTAAATTCCCTCTGTCATTTCCCCCACACACTCTCAGGTTAGTCACACTTTCTGTTGCTCTTTTGCCTTCTTTCCATCTTTTCCTGGGTATTGTTTACGTACCTCTGGACGGTCTCCTCTGCTTGGTTTGCATGGTCAAAGTGCCAACAACTGCACCCATGTTGTCACCGTGGAAACCAGCCTGGTCAAACAACCTACAGAGTGATAATCCTCGATTTGTTTCACGGTTTGTGTCAGCCTGTTGTTTTCCGGTCTGGCTCCACCGCTCTGGATCTAAAAGAGGCTTTGCCCCTGTTGATTCCTCTCTCTGCTTTCAGATCTGACTCAGAGGGAGGGATCTCTCCCTTCAGCTGATTTTCTTGGATTTCTGATTTCTCCTTCCAAAGACTCACGCGAGCTGCTCCCGCCTTTCTGCGCCACTCCCTCCCTTCTGTGTCTGATTGTACTCATCTGTCAGCCTTTCCCTCCTATTTCTGGCTCCCTGCCTCCTCATGCCCTCATGTTGTTATGGAGCGCTGGAAACCGATGCAGTAATAACTCCACCGACTGACAAGTGAACGGTTGCAGGTGAAGGCTTTAAGCGACCTTGAGGTTATGAAAGGCGCTATATAAATTCAAGTGATTATTATTATTATTATTATTAAGGACATGCCTTTCAAGGTGATGGATCCTTGGTCTTCACAGGCATTGCATTTTAAATATGATGGGAATTAGTATCTGGTTTATTGCCAAGTACATTTGTACATATAAGGAAATGTTAGAGAAAGAAGCAGCAAATCATAAAATAACTGAGATGTAAGATAGGAGAAAAATATGACATAATATGATACGAAAAAACACTATAAAAATATGTACAAGAAATATGAATACAAAATATAAAAATACTATTAAAGGAAAATATACGATAAAACAATGTGTACTAAGATATATACATATGGAATAGGAGAAATATATAATAATACTATAGAATAAATACTTAAAAATATTAACATATACAGTAATAAAGGGAAAATACAATCAAATGATACAAATAAAATATCATAATTAAAAAAAATATAAAATAGAGGAAAATACAATATTACAATTAAAAACTAAAACATATGTAATATATCTGTGATGAAAATGTAAGCAATGTGCTATCCATCTATTATAATTGTTTTCTTCTTATTCTTGACTTATATCTCTCTTTATTTGCATATAAATGCACTTAAAGACGAACACAACTGGATGGCTTATGATCACATTAGTCTAATAATACTGTGAGAAAGTGCTCTGCTCTGTGATGCATGGCACGAACCATAATGAGCATGTAGATACTGTATATGTTAGCTGTAACGCTTTCCACTTGTGTGTGTATGTGTGTTAATTCACTAATGTAACATCGCTGGACTTCCTCTCCTTAATTTGAATGCAGGGAGTTTGTATTTTCTTTTTACTTCAGTATAAACAAGAACATTAGAGTGTTAAATGTTGTCAATTAATATTCATGAAGCGGATTCAATCGAAGAAGATGAGACTGTGTGCATTGGGGGAAGGAAAGCAGTGGGAGTGAGTAATGTTCAGTTCCCTACAAGTGCTGAGCATTACAATCAAAAAGGGTAAGTACGTTTTGAATATGCTGTAAGTGCTTTTGCTACTTAAACAATATTATTCAATTTGGTAAAGGCAGCTAATGAGTTGAAATATGTCTTAGAAAGGATATGATGTTTAAGAGTTTGATGTTATTTATAGGGGCAATGATTCGCAACGGAATTCAGATGAAGATTCACAATTATAAGAAGATTAAACATTAAGTCTTATGTCTTAAATGTATCTTAGATGTTCTCTTAATTCTATGTTAAGGGGGAAAAAGAAATCCATTCTAGGTGCACCAACTTTTATTAACCTTAATTTCTTAAAAACGTGAAATGAAAGATGAATCCCACTTGATTTAAAATGATAGGTGTGATGCCATTTTTTTTAATCATTAGCAAAGATAACATTGCCTAAAATATAAGTTGAGAAGAAGAAGAAAAAATAGAAGAAAAAGGAGAAGTTCAGTAAAATTGCGGTACTGTTAAAAAAGCTTCTATTTATGTCCAACCTTGAAATGCTCCACCTCTATAATTTATGGCTCCATTGATTCTCGTAACCCTAACCCAACAATCCACCTGAAACCCATTTGGAAGCAGGACATAGGTCTGCCAAAACCAGTGGAACCATATCCTCAACGTACTGTAGTCCACTATTCTTCTACGTATGCGAGGCATGGTGTACCTGGTGCAAGGCTCTATTCAGGGTATGCAATCACTCAATTGATCAACATGTTACCAAATACAATTGAAAACTTCATTATGTGTTTAAAAGTGTTTGCTAACTACGTCACATGTTGTGTTTCTGTCCAAACCAAGTGAAACGGCTTTCTTTTGTCAAATATTTACACAATTGGGAAATGTTTTGGTCTGAACGGTCCTAAATGGACTCCCACAATTTGCAGCATCGACTTTTCTACGTTTCTAAATTCTAGTCTTTTTAAGTCTTTAAGCTAGATGTCTCATAGTATTTAAATGGAAGCATATCAAACTGAAAACAAATAGATTCCTTGACAAGACCTGGAAGCCCTTCAGTGATTGTTTGAACAAGGCTCACATCCATCCAGGCCTTGTCTGTCAAGTCAGATACCAGGCATTTAAGATAATCCACTGTTAAACGTTTATACAGGTGCACAATCCATATCAAGATTCGACAAGGAAGCTAATATCACGCAATGTCATCCTCCAAGGGTTTTGAGTCTTAATTGAGATCGATGGACCATTGGTATTTCTTAAGTCAATGAATGACTCTACAAGAGATAATAGTCTTAATGTTTATTTTCCCCAAATGTACAACTTGTATTTCCTTCATTGGACACATCATTTGTGGACTGTTCCCAAGAGAAAAGCAAAACAAGCAAAATATTGGACAAATCCAGAAGACAATGGGGAATAACAAAATAAGAACGAATCGTGGAAACAAAAACCAGAAGCCTTCTTATATATTTCCTGCATGGAGTCTATTGCTCTGGTGTGTAGGGTATAACGTACTTAAAGGTGGAATAGGTCATTCACTTCAGAAACACTTTTGTTATACTCCATGGAATGCTCTTAACATCCCAATAGCAATGAATAAATTAAATGCTTTGACAATAAATACATGAAACATTTCATCTGTGGAAGCCGTGGCGCTGGGCTAAAAATAATTGGATGGCCTACCTTCCTGTCAGCCTTCCATCTTGTGCACAAACTTATCTCGTGCCCTCATTGGTCATGTGCGCGTTTGTGTGTGTTGGAGGAGGGGCTCTGTAAGGAAGTCTGAAGGAAGGGGCAGATTCCATTCTTACCTACCCTACCTTTAAGCAAAGAAAATGTAAATGTCTGTTTAAGTATTCCACTGGCTGCAGATTAGAAATGTAAATGTTCTCTCTGTATCACTCTTTCTTTGTGTGCGCTTAAGAAGAAAAGGTTTTGAAAGGTCAATGGCCTGCTATGTGTTCGAAGGCTTTGTAGGTTTCTTGTCTCTTAAAAATGGCATTCCACCTCCTTTGTTAGAGCTGTTAGAATAGCAAAGGCTGTGTGGAAGGAATACGATGGCATCAACACACACACAAAGAATCGTATCCACAATGTGAACTCTGTAGTTAAACAGGTTAATGGTGCTTAAAATATTGTGTGTGTAAGTGTATGTGTGTGTGAGGGCAGTATTGTGATGCCAAAATGGAGCTAAGGTAAGAACATGCACTGATTATTTAAACATAAAGTCCTGCATAATTCAATAAATATATTAATCAATATACAAGGCTATAATGCTAGGCGTACTTAATTTTCTTTTCTCCATTTAAATACCATAACCATAAAATAAAAAAGTTTCTCTGCATTTTCCTATTAAATATGTATTACTTTTAACTTCTGGAAAAATGGCCGCATAAGTCATCTGATAATGGAAGCATTAACACAAACTACAACTGATACCACAGATGTTTTTAACAATCTTTCACGGCCTCACCTGATCACATTTAAAGTAAGAATGAGCCTCCTGACACACAAACACTTGCAGAAGGAGAACTAAAGATTCAGAAAAGTTACCAGTTGTAATCCCCATGACAGATGTTTGCATGTGGATCTGCCTTTCTAGACTGTAACACCCCCAACATGACACAGCACTGCAGTCTGACCTCATAATCTCCTCATTATTATTCAGTGTGCCAACAGGGAGGAAACCGTGCTAAAGGCCCTGAAGAAAAGGCTTTATTCAGATTCATCAAGGGATTTTCCCTTTATCCTTTCCCGACTGATATCCCTTATAATAAATAATTACATTTTAAGCATTCACAGAGTTAATTCTAGCATTCTGGTGAATGTATAAGTTCTAATTTATGTTACGATATGTTTGTATTTAAGTTAAAAAGACACAATTCAGACACCTGGTGATAATTCTTAAAGAGGCCCTATTATGCTTATTGGGTTTTCACTTTCCTGTAGTGTGTTATATAGATTGTTGTGCATGTAAATGGTCTGCAACTGTTTACTACCGTAGCATACTTTTGAACCACTCAAATCTATTCAACAAAGAAAATCGTGCTGTAATATATACGCTTTTCAGCCTCCATTATTAGTTAAAGTGAAGTACAGTGCATATATCCCTTATATCCCTTCACAGAACTAAAGAATGCTTTAAAAAAAGGTTTAATGAGATGATGGAATCAAAGCTGAACTAACATAAAAAGGCACACGTGCTGAAAACCCAAACCCAGAAGGGGGATCTGGGGGGATTCTCCCCCAGGAGATTTTTAGAAATACTAACATAAACTACGCATTCTGGTACACTCTGAGAAGAAAATATATAAATGTATTACTACCCGACATATTAAAAATATTTTATGCCATTGTTTGTTTTTCACTTTGTTCTGACAGCTGAACTTGCTGCTCCACACATAGNTAGTGAGAGCGTGCGACATGCGATGCAAGGTAGCAGCCAGAGGAAACAGGGGTGAGCAGGAGGGAGGGGAAACAGCCGTGGGGGAGCATGAGCGGAGAAACAGGCTGGGCAGCAGAGGCGAGGGGGAAACAGGTGGAGCCAGAGGGAGGGCTAGACAGACGGAGAGGCAAACAAGCAGGGCCCTGCGAACAGAGGGAGGGAGGAAACAGTGGAAATCAGGAGTGGAGAGTGACCGGGAGAGGAAAACAGGGATGGAACAGACGTGGAGAGGCAAACAGTGTGCGCATCATAGTGAGAGGGAAACAGTGGATCAGGTGGATCAGAGTGAGAGACAGGTAGAGGCAAGAACTGGAGGAAGGCAACAGGTAGAGCAGAGTGGAGGGAAGGAACAAGGTGAATCAGAGCTGAAGGAAGGAAAACAGGGTGGACAGAGGTTTGGAGAGGAAACAAGGTGCGATCAGAGGGAGAAGGTGGGGCACCGGGGAGGAGGAAACCAGCCCTAGATCAGGACGTGGGAGAGGAAACAGGTGGATCAGAGTGGAGAGCGAAACAGCGTGGATTCAGAGTTGGAGGGAGGAAACAGGCTGCGAGCAGGCAGCTGAGAGGAACAGGTGGATCAGACGTGAGAGGCAAAACAGGTGATAGAGTGAAGGAAACAGGTAAGAGAAGGGAGTGAGAGCAAACAGGTAGAGGCAGAGTGGAGCGAAACACGGCGGTGGCATCAGGAGTGGAGAGGAAAACAGGATAGAGCAGATGGTGCAGGAGGAAACAGGTGGATCAGAACGTGAGAGGGAAACAGCGTTTAGAGCAGAGCTGAGAGGCAAACACGGGCTAGAGCAGGAGTGGAGAGGGAAACAGGGGTTAGAGCAGAGTGAGAGGCAAACAGGTGCGATCAGGACGTGGAGGAGGCAAAACAGGCTTTAGGAGCAGAGTCGGGGAGAGAAAAGAGGTAGGAGCAGAGGTGAGCAGGAAACAGGTAGAGCCAGAGTGAGGAGGAAACAGGTAGAGGCAGAGTGAGAGAACAGGGTAGAGCAGAGTGGAGGAGGGAAACAGGTAGAGCACAGAGTGGAGAAGAAACAGGCTAGAGCAGATGTGAGAGGAAAAGGTAGAGGCAGAGTTGGAGAAGAAACAGGTAGAGCAGGAGTGAGATGGAAACAGTAGAGCAGAGTGAGAGGGAAACAGGTAGAGCAGAGTGAGAGGAAACAGGTAGAGCAGGTTGTAGAACTAGTCACAAGCATACCTGATTTCGGTGGAGTACATTTTTCTTGTGCTGCTGGCTATAGAGGGCTGACGGAGGGGGGTGGTGCTTTCTTTTTCGGGGTCACACCGGTCCTTTCCTCTCACCATCACGACCTCCACCTTCTTCTTCACCTCCTCCTTTTCCTCTTTCCACCCTTGAATCGGCAGAAGTTGAGTCTGCAGAGTTTCCTGACATCACTGCAAGAGAAAAACAGAACGGAGGACAGCTGAAGGGAGGAGGGACTTTACAGGTGGAGGAGGACAGATGACGGAGACACAGAGGACAGGTGGAGCAGAGAGCATGGAGGACCACGGGTGGAGCAGACAAATTATGGATAGAGGTAAGGAGACAGAGACAGGACAAGGTGGAGGCAGACATAATGAGGAGACAGGTGAGCAGAGAGATGGAGGAACAGGTGGGAGGAGACCAAATGACGGAGGACATGTGGAGGATACCACAGACACATAGACAGGTGGAGCAGAGAGATGGAGGGAGGGACAGGTGGAGGAGACAAATGACGGAGACATGTGGAGGAGACACAGACACATAGGACAGGTGGGAGCATGACAGATGGTGGAGACATGTGGAGGAGACCAGAGACACATTAGACGGGTGGAGAAGGACAGATGAATGGAGGCAGATGGGAGGAGACAAATTGACTGGAGACAGGTGGAGGAAGACGGGTGGGGGAGACTGGGGGGACCCTCACCATCCAGCTCCAGGCCAGGATGTCTGCAGGCTCATTCCGCGCGGAACAGGTACCCCCTCCTTCTCTCCATACAGCACCACCCGGCCCACCCGGCCCATTAGGGTGGGGTCCTGGAGGAGGTGGAGCAGTTCTGGTCGTGACCTGGTACTCCCCTCCAGGGAACTCCTCCAGCCGCTTGACGCCCCCCCCCCTCGCCCTCCTCCAACAGCAACAGCTGGGTGAGGATGGCCACCCTGCGGCCTCACCAGCGCCCCCCGTCAGCGCCCCGGGGTTCTTGGCCGCTGGACGCGGGCCAGGTTCCTCAGCAGGTCGTGCCCCGCAGCGGGGTGGCCCGGTGGGAGTGGGTATGGGCGGCGAGAGACATAGGGGCCTGTCGGGGTCCACCCCCCCACCCCCGGGCTGTCTGCCAGCAGCAGGTCCAGGCAGGACTCGCAGTGGGCGGCAGGATCAGCGGGTGCAGGCGCCCGCGCTTCCCCAGGACCCCCGCCCGCGGCAGCTGGCACAGCCACGAGCGCTCGAAGGGAGACAGCAGGCCTCCATGCCAGAGGGGGGGTTTGGGCCGGGCGGGGGTGGTGCGGCTGCAGTAGTCCTGCACGGTGAGCTTGGCCACCTCACACTCGCGGTGGCTGGTTGTTAGAGGTATGAGCAGCGACAGGCTGGAGGGCAGAGGAGGCGCCAGGCCTCCGCCGAGTGGGGGGAGCGGAGAGGGAAGAGGGGAAGGAGGAGTGCTTGCTGGCCGGCGGAGGTACACAACCAGGGTGCGAGGAGGGAGGACCAGCAGCGGGGAACATTTGGTGTCTGCTGCGGGCTGGAGAAGACACATCACGCATTAAAGCAGCAGCAGAAACACACCCAGCACACCATATCAACATAGGAACCCCCCTCACCTCAGGAGCGCTCCGTTCTTCCCCTCCGGCCGGGTCTCCCACTCAGGTCCAGGTCCTCCTCCGGGGTCTACGGTCTGGGGCTCAGGGGTCGGAGCGTGGAGCAGCTTGCTCCTGGGACTCTTCGAGCTCTCCACCTCCACCTTCGGCTGCTCTTCATTCTTCTCCCTCTTCATCCTCCTCCCCCTTCCTTGAGCAGGCTGGGGAGGTGATGGGGGTCTTGGGACTCGTGGTTCTGCCAGCGGGCCTTGGTGCCGGACCGTGGTGCGCTGGGCGGCTTCTTGGGCAGCAGCGGGCGGAGAAGGAGACGGGGAGACGTGAGAAGGGAGGAAGGAGACACCGCCGGGGTTGGAGCGGGTCGGACGGCGAGTCCCTCTCCCTGGAGAAGAGGGGGGTGGGGGGAGCTTGAGGCTGCGGCTGAGGACGCAGCGAAGGAGTGTGAGGAGAGGAAGGCGGAGGAGGGATGTGGGGGCCCCACTGTTGGAGCGCTGTGGGGGTGTGGCCAACTCCATGGCGGCGCGCACCTCGGCTGCGACGGTGGTGCTTCTCGATGGTGCGCCCAGAGAGCGGTAATGACGGCCGCAGTACGGGCAGTGCTGGCCGCCGGCTCACTGCGCGCCCCCTCCAGAAGAACTGCCGATGTTAATGTTGATGTTGTTGTTGATGTTCGGTGGTGGGGGGCCAGTGCGGGGTCTGGGGTCTGGCAGGGGGGGTGGCGGGCTGCGGGTGGGTGAAGGAGGAGCAGGGGGGCTCGCTCTTCTTCTTCGTCGTCGTGACCTCCGCGGTGAGCTTTCGCTTCTTACGGCGGCGGAGCATCCGGCCCCTCATCTCCTCCATTTCCTCCTCTTCGTCGTCGTCGTCATCGTCGTCGTCTTCCTCCTCCTCGTCCTCCTCGCGGTCCGAGTCGCTAGGCTCAGAGTGGGTGAGCGGGGAAGAGGAGGGGGACAGGGACCACGAGGGGGTGAGGTAATCAGAGACAGAGAGGGACAGAGGGTGAGGGCCCGCCTCTTCCTCCTGCATTTCAAAATAAAAAAACGTCAAAATGTAGCTGTAGCAGCATACAAGTTATGTAGCATATATTTATACACATAAATGGCCTTTGTCACAATAAATATATTTAAATATATAAATCTGACCCACCATGGCGTTCTCCCCCCAATCCGTCAGGCTGTAGTCCACTGTGATCTCCTCTCCCTTGGCGATGTCTCGGATTGCTATGACAACCAGCCTCACCTGCGTCCCACAATGCACCTCTCTGATGCGGCAGTTTGGGGGGGGGTGGAAAAGGACCGGCCCCCGGACGCCACTCGCCCCTTCCTCCCCCAGCTCTGGTACACTACAGACAGGAAGTCACATCACACAACATGCAGCATAGATAATGAAACCCATCAGACAGTAGTTTTGGGGGGGGGACCTGCTTACCAGAGCTGGGCGGGGTCTGGCAGGTAGTACGGGCTGCCAGGTGTGGGGAGGCGGTCCTCGGCCCCCTCTGGATACTGACCTTCACCTGGACAGAGAGATGGATCAGAGGTCGGGCTGTGTATTTATGTGCACTGTATGAATATAAATATACAAGTATAGATATGTAAATAGAAATGAAAGTGCATGTACCTGGGCTGTAGCTGTGCTCTGACATGCTCTCCTCCTCCTCATCTTCTGTCACATATGCCCGGTCACACACCTTCACCGGCGTCCCCTTCCTCTTCCTCCCACACACTCGCCTGAAACAGAAACACAAAATAAGAAATAAATCCAGCGGAGCAGAGAGAAATACCTGTGGCTTCAATCACATCTGTTCTCTACTGCTGTGGTTGCTCTTTCACATTATAACCTCTTAAAAACACAAGGAACACTCAGATTACACTATTATTTACATCATCACATATAGACGTAGAGTACAGAAGAAAAGCAGCTCTCAGACCGGGTCAGATCACAGACTCTGGGTCAAACCACAGACCAGATCTAGACACTGGGTCAGACCATAGACTCTGGATCGAATCACAAACCGGGTCAGTGGACTATGGGTCAGATCACAGACCGGGTCGCAGACTATGGGTCGGATAACAGACCGGGTCGCAGACTCTGGGTCAGACTACAGACCGGGTTAGTGGATTGTGTTTTGCTGGTTCCTGCAGCTGGCTACATGCTAAGAGTGATGCTAACCGCAGCTAGCTGTTAGCTCGGCAGCTAGCGATGGGCTTTAACTGAGCGGCTGCGGACAAAGAGCTGCAGCAGGAGAAGCTGCACCTTCACCGGGAGAGAGTCCCGACCCCCGGCCCCCGTTTCTCCGGTGTACCACTGAAAACATGCATGCGAAGAAAGGCTCCTAACGTCAACCAAACAACCGTGCACGCTCGGAGCAGCGCGTGCGTCTTCTGCATTTCGCTAACGACCCCCCAACCCACGGTGAAGACGCGACACCAGAGGCTGCGGCCCGTCACACTCACCCCTGCGGCGGAGGCTTGCTCCCGTCCCCGTCGCTGTCCAGGGTCGGCGGCTCCCGGTAGTCAAACGGCGACCGAACATTCTCCGCCATTAGCGCGCTTCACTCCGTCCGAGCTGCAGCGCGCATGTGCAACACATCCTCCGGGCTCAGGGAGGCAGGGGGGGGTGCACATACAGTGTGAGGGTGCAGGGGCAGTGTAAAGGATGGGGTACGGCCAGGGTACCATGCAGCACGAGGGTGCGAGGGGGGGGGGTTAGGGGTTATACAGTGTGAGGGCTCACACACATCTGAGAAACATCAACATAACAACCACACACTTCACGAATGTACACGCACATTTTGTATTGAATAAACACATTATATCTTCCATGCATTCAAGTGTAAGTTAAGTTGTTAACCATGATGCACATTAAATATGTTATAGTCTATGTTAAATCTGGTTAAATAGATAGATATTTCCAACTGCTCTGTGGTTTCCATTTATTCTCACAAGGAAGTTATACAGATAAGAAGTCAATGTATAATATTCAATATATAACTGCTCCATTTAATCCCAAGAATATATTCAAAAATGTTAGTATTTAATGAAATGACCTAATTTTGACTTACTAACCAATTTCCATAATGTTGTGTTGGTATAATCGCTACCGTTCTGAATATATTCCTTAGAAAGGCAGAGAAAAAGTATTTATTGTGATCAGGTCAGCAGTGCAGTGTATAAAGAAGAGAAACAGAGAAGGGTGGCTCAAACTGTTTAATGTTCACTGCAAATCCAGGAAACAGCATCATTATCATCATCATCTTCATCATCATCATCATCACTGCTGTGTCATGCAGTGAACACCACCTATTGTACTACAGTGAACTTCTAATATACATATGTCTTCAGAGAAAGAGGGTCTTACAGTTCAAACAGTGTAGCAGCATATTCAAGTATTACAGAAACGTGAGGAATCATCCGATTACACGTGTTAATAAAGCTAATAAAACATATGAAAACAACAGATAGAGTTATTAATGTTAATAAACATCACATGGCTGCCGGGTCACAGTATCAGTGTTTGGCTACATTCAGAGGTTAGTAGATCCAGCGTCAGATTATCAGTCCACTTAAATAAGATAAATACAACATGTACAAAATAAACCTCAGTCTAACGTCATAAAGCTTTACACAGAGAAACTGCAGCTCTTTAATACTGGCTGGTGAAGCAGCGGGGAGGAGATCTTTGAGAGGAGCAGGAGTTAAAGATGGTCAGGGAGGAGCAGGGTTAGAGGAGGTGGAGTTAAAGCTGGAGGAGCAGGGTTAGAGGAGGTTACAGGAGTTAGTCCTTGTTGTTGTTGCAGCAGCTCAGAGGTCCATGCTCCCCCCCCG